GGGAATGGCCCGAGTGACCGGCGCCTGGCCGGGGATTGCTGCCCTTCGCTGCTGCTGCTCGGGTTTTTCACGAGTGTGGGATTCGGGTTCTGACAGCCCATGTCATTGCAGCAGCAGCACAGAAAACATTAAAGGTGTGCTGTCGCTGGGTAATACTGCTCGATAAAGTCTTGGGGTTTATATATTTATATCCTAGAATGGTTTGGGTTGGAAGAGACCTTAAAGATCATCTAGTACCAAGCCCCCTGCTATGGGCAGAGACACCTCCTGCTAGACCGGGTTGCTCCAAGCCCTGTCCAACCTGGCCAGTTATCCTGACTGGCTGCTCTGCAGTATTATGTTTGTTAAACACCTATGAGAAGACGATAAGTGTTTTGGGATTGGCTATTCTAAACAGGCTATTAGGGAATAGATACAGAAAAAGCTTTTGACAACACTACACCACCCATATGTTTGGTAGTAGAGCTGTGCTAGTATATGGTTTTAAATAGGTGCTGTGATTATTCTTGCAGAAGGGTTGAAAGTGTGCAACTGATATTTCAGGAAAAGGAGGGTACGTTGGATAGTTGCTCGAAAGCTCTTACAGTGGAAGGACCAGGTGCAGAGCAACCACCTGCATCCCCACCAAGAAGAGCAGTCGGAGAAGGCAAGAACAGGGACGAAGCAGAGAAGCCTCTGCTTTCAGAAGCTACAGGCATTGCACAGTGAGGAGGGCTGTGAGCAGCAGTCTTCTCTGGAGCAGTTAGCTTTGAAGGAACAGGAGCAGTCAAGTTTGTCACAGTGGGAACAACCTGGAGAAGGACTAGGCAATCAAAGAGCAATTGGAAATAACCAGCAAGATTTGATCCAGGTGCCCCTTTCAACACATCATCTGAGACCACATCTCCTGTTACCAATGAGAGTTATTCTGCTTTAACCGAAGAAAGAAATTCAGAAAGGGAAGAACAAACATCTCAAAACTTAGTATCAGAGAACATGGCACATGAGACAGGTAAAGAAATTACTAAAATGTTGGATGTTAAGGCTTTAAAGAGATTTTTTTTTCTTCAACTTGATTAGGGCTTCTTGCATCCCCCACACTCTCATTCCATTCATGTTTGCTGGCTTTTGAACTTGAAGAGACTTTTAAAATTCTCATATAAAACATGCTTGAAAAGGTGAGAAATGCATTCTTCATCTCAAGTTGCAGTAGAAACTCATATGACATTTTACAGTGATCTTCATGTCCAGTAATATGTGTATTTGTGGTTTGTACACGCATTTGCAAAACAGCAGTGCATAATTTGCATGAGTACATGGGCTACTATGAGTTTAGACTAGGTTCCAGCAAACACTTACTATTTTAGCTCTCTTAGATTCTCCTGTAACTTACCCGCCACCCTTCCATTATCCATGCCTTCTGCAGTCCCTGAAATACTCCATCATATGCTGCACTTGTTCCTCTGCATTCTAGGTGTCCGATGTTACTTCCTCTTCCCAATTCAGTGCCCTATTTTCTTAGGTCCTTAGAGCAGAAGGTAGAAGAACCCAGTCAGCAGGTTCGTGCAGTGAGTGACCATTTGGAGTATGAACCTGCTGACTGCTGTCCTGGCAGGGCAGCATTCAGATGCTCTCATTCAGAGTAGCTGGCGATCGCGTGCCAGGAAAAGCACTGTACCAAAGCCAGATGGAGTTGTATCTCTAAATCAAGAAGTAATTTCTGGAGTTAAGTAGATCTGGTTCAGAATATAGTCTTTGAGTAAACACCGCATCAAGTATTGTGTGAAAGACAACAGTAATTCTAAGCATACAATGTATGCTTAGATCAGGTCTAAAGGGGAGCAGGTTTAAGTAAGATTTTTCAGTAAAAGTTCTCTGTGTAAATGGGTAACTGATTTAAGATTATGCACTTACTGTAACTTGTAAAAATTTGAAATATGAATGATTTTCAGTAGTGACAGCATTACGTTAGGTATCTCTTTAGAAAGTGTATGATAATGTTTCAGTTTTCAAGCAGACTGTCATTCCAGCTCAAAAATCTGATCATTCAGAGTAAACTTGAAAGAGTTACTGATTTGTTTTGAGAAGCTTACCAAGAATTAATTTTGGCTTTATTTTTAGGAAGCATGATTGAGGATAATGAAACTCCTGGGAGGACTAGGGCTAACCTTGATGAAACTGACCAGTCTGAGAAGTTATGTCTAGATCAGGAACATTTTCCTGGGAAAGCAGTTCAACAGGATTACCGCATGCCTGATGTCATAACTGTCAGAGTACAAGCAGGTAAATGCTGGTTTTGCACATATATTGATACATGTAATTGTGCTCTAATCTCAATATTTCAATCTTGGAACTTCCTTTTTAACAGATTCTGATTCATTCCAAGATGTAATTGTAAAAATTGAAAGACCTACCTATCAAAAACCATTTCTGGGTGGATTTAAGAACAGGATAACAGGAGTGGAATTTCATAATGCAGGATCACAAACGATTCCCAAAAAAACACCTGATAAAGGAATTCTTGTATTCCGTAGGGAAACACAGGTAGTGGCTTTGTAGTGTCTTTTTAGAATGCTGTTTTTGCCAAATGGAATAGAATGTCGACACAATTATTTCCAATAGGAATGAGGGAATGGATGAAGAATAAGTGTGCAATTGAAAGTATTTTTAGTGGATGAATATCACTAGTCTCATGATTTTTGTTACAGATAACTAATTTTTGCTACTTACTGTAATGAGGAAAAAAGATCTTTATATTTTGTTATATTCTGACATGTATTTTTTCCCCAGACAGTTTTTGAAAAAAATAAGCGACAACAAACAACAAATACAACATCAACACAAATGACTAAAACTGGCCTGTATGTGTCAAACAAGACTGACAAACTAATAAGTCCTGGGAAGTATTTTACAGCGGAAGAGTACCATAAGCGTAGATTCGAAGCGGTAAGTTCTTACGTGTTTGAAACTATCTGTAAAGCGAAACATTACAGAGGTTATCTGAATATTTAATGAGTGTTAAGAGTGTTCAAAGAGTGATTTTAAAAGTGAACTGCATAATCTTGCTTGATTTTCACATTTTGTAATTTTCAGATATGGAGGAAGTGTGTGTTTTCTCTGTGTTTTTTGTGACATTTAGTTTTTAGTTATTAATTTGATTGCCTAAAATAGGCAGTCTGAATCTAACTAAATGGAGAGATAGTTGATTCTCCAAGTGTCTCAAGTAGGGTAATTGTATTGACGTGGTTGGCAAGATGCTTTGAAGACTTCTGGGTAGAAGTTTTCTGTACGAACTTCTTAGTCGGTCAGCATCAGCTGGCAGCAATAAGCATTTTGTAGAAGTGGAAAACCCAAATAGGTGACTGTTTCCTCAGGACTACCAATATGTTTACTGTGATCATTACTGAAATATGTAATGTGTTTGTAGGCAATCTGTAGCACACAGTAGAGAGACATCAGCTTGTTGCTGGTTCAAGTTGATGGATCTGCACCATGCAGTGTAGGTCCATATTGAAATACTAGCTGGAGACATATTCAAGAGAAATATTAGGATAAGATATCTCTAGAGACAGTATAACTGTTAGTGTGGTTATGTGCTTGATAGCCTTCAATGCTGAACAGTGCTTATTAGCTCATGGTATTGGCCTGCATGTGGTCCCAGCTAATGCAGCTGACAGAAGATTGGGTTTTTGCATTATCCTCTCTTAGCATACTATAGGCAGTTCCCTAGTCTTTAATAGCTGCATTTCTGGAGGGTCAATTTTTTAATTTTCTTTTTTTAAGTTTGGTCATAACAGCATTGTTAAATTCATTTTCATTATTTGTTTGTAAATAAAATGCAGTTGGTTTTGTGTGTATGTACATTTCAATTAGTTTGAGTACTTTAGATTAGATTGAGGCAAATCTTAGAAAATACAGTTATGTGGCTAGAAAAAATAACAGGTAAGAAGAAAATATCATGCTGTTTTGGTTTAAATTTATTATTTTTTTATATTGTATCACACATAGGTAATAGTATTACAGAGATATTTCCGTCGTTGGCATGCTACAAATATAGTACAAAAACTGAGGGAAGAGAAGAGGTTAAGGCTGGAGTGGGAGGCACAAGAAGAATTATGGAGAAAAAAAGAAAAAGAAGAAAAATTGAGAAGGGAGCACGAGCGAAGACTGAACCCCAAAACAAAAGGAGACTTCGAGCTACTGTACCATGCTTTAGAATGTAAGTTTTTTCTTAAAGGGATACTCTTAAATCAGCAAAATACAGCAGTTTGTTTAAAACAGACTTATATTTTTACATGTTTCTGTAGATACTTCCTTGATTTTTATTTTTTTTTTCTTTAACTTACAGTGGAATTTCAATTTTACATAATCATTTGACATTCATATATCATCAGAAGCAGAAAAAAAGGCCTTGATGCTGTGTAAGCACTGTTCAACAGTAACTAAAACATCCTTGTGTTATCAACATCCAAAGCATAGCACCATACAAGCTACTATGAAGAAAATTAACTCTGTCCCAGCCAAAACCAGTACATCTTTTTAGGAAATAATCAGCTTCTAGAATAGTGCTATTTGGCAGTTCTATTATTGGGTTGTTTTTTTTCATTCATCTCTAATGTTAAGGTCATCTGGAGGAACAGGAACATTTTTTTTGGATCAGGGTTATATTAATCTTTTTACTCCACATTTAAGATGCTGAAAATAATGGCATGAAGAAATATAGTATTGAGACCCAACATCTGTCATTTAATAAACGCATTTTTTATAATGGATTAAATTTTTTCCCATAATTTTACAATATATGACAGAGGTTATTCCTTTTGCCCTACGCATCTTCTACAGATGCCTTTTCTTCTTTCTAATTTATTCCATGTTTCACAAAACTATGTTATCAAAATTTAAAAACTCTGCTGGGAGTCCTACAGGGCATCCTGAGGGACTTAGTTTTCCTCTTGGGGTGGGTGGTTTCTAGCACAGGCAAGCACCTCTAAGCTTTCCTGGAAAAATAAGGTGAATACTGCAGATAATTGATATGAAACCTTACAGGAGAGTAATGTTGAAAAATGGAACAAAAAACCTAGAGTGTGTCTTTTGGGGGAAAAATAAAAACAACAGAAATCAGTGGACTTGTAGCAGCATATAATGAAACTGCAAGAGTTCGTTTAAAAATGTCTCCTTTTAAGCAAGATGCTTGCATTGTGACTTGCAAGTAGCATGTTGTATGTTGTGTAGGCTACAGTGCTTGCTTATGGTATAACTCTGTGGCAGTTTGGGCGTTTTTGTCCCTATAGCAGAACTGGCCTAATGGATTGCCTGCTTCATTGCAAAGCTACCTGACCTACCTGAAATAATCTCAGCTGTTTCTTCCATGGTGAACTGAGCATAAATTTGATGGCATATGTTATTCCTGGACCTTAGGGTCATGATTCTAGAACTCCCAAGTTATACACTACACTTTTAATACTGTCATACTTGGGTCACTGAACAAATCACTTGGTCTGAGTGTAGAAATGACTTGTAAATATTAGTGTTTGTGACAAATTTAAAATTATTACTGATCTTAAACTTTAGAATTTTGGGAATGGTATCTTTATGAGACTTGGGGTTAGGGGTTGTTTTCCCTTTTTCCTCACGGATAATTAGCTTTTCCCTTCACAAGAATCAGTCTCTTTTAAGGTGTGCCTGATTAGGTAATCAAAAACCAAGGCACTCAATTTTTTCCTCTCCATTTATGGCAAGTGCTACTATTTGGTTCTGATTTCCTGCAGTATTTTCTTTAATAAGTTATCAAATTTATGATCCATTTTTTTTTAAGTGCAAAGAGTCTTATTTGCAATAGAAACAAGAGGGCTGAGTTAAAGTTGCAGATGAGTGCTGGTATTCCCAATATTTTTAGATTGAGAATTTATGGTTATGTAGGTGTCTCTTTTGCTTAATTTGATGTAACCAGATTCACAAATAATAAACCTTTCAGCTATGTATGTTCAGGAATTTAATATCAGGGCAACCTGAAAAAACACGTGCCACTTCAGATCTGGAACAGAACAAACTCCAGTATTTGAAATGTCTTTTTAGCATTTTGTTAAAAATAATGGTCTAGTATCAATCTGTTTTGGTTTTGTTTACCTGTGTTGACTAGTCGCTTCTGAACATGGACACTTGCAGTCATGCTGTTTATTTTAATAGAGCTTAGTGGTTCTAGGAAGGTTTTTTTTCCTACCTGCATCTGAAACTACTTTTACATTCTTACAGTGTCAACAGTCTACACAAGCTAAATCATTGTGACAGTAATAGAATGACACCATTGTCCTCCAGAGACCTGTGAAGGTTACTGCTGCTGATCTCAACAGGGGGATACTATTACAGGGTCAGCCAGCACAAGCAATTCCTTGGTACAGAAACTTGCCAGATGACAGTGTGGTGCAAATGAGATATATCTGTATGTTCAGAGTGTCTGCATATAGAGACATTCATTATTTATTTGAAAAGTATGAACTACTTTGATCTGTAAAAACTGGGAAAGAAAATGTAATGAGTATAATCTCTGCCTACAGAACAGATAATCTAAGAGGAATGTTTTAAATTTGGTTGCATGTATGTGGTGAGTCAGTAGGAGAGTATTGATGATAACTGACAGCTTTTTTATTTCTGTAAGTGCAAAATTGCTTACTGTATTTATTACCTCTACCTTTGATGTTGCTGCCCCCTGCAGGCATATAAAACTTCATGTAAATTAATTCTGAAGTGCTTTTGTTTGCTGAAATGACTTTATTTAAAAATATAGCTTTGGGTACTCAGAACTTGTCAGACAACTGTCATATTAATACCAAAGCTTGGAGAGCCTTAAGGAAATGAATTGTAATATTTTAAAATGGAAAACATAAGGTATTGTAGATAAGGAAGCTGCAGGCAGAAACTAAGCCTTCTTCCTTTCCCTCCTGCATGTACTCTTACCTGATACAGTAAGTGTGCAGCATATACTGAATTGTTTTCTTTAACGCTGGGATTTGCGAGATTTCAGGAATGTTGAATTTTCTGATCTTACAAAATTTCCTACAGATCTCTAGAGATATTTGGAATGGAAGAAATTCTTCAGAGAAGCCAAGAATTCTTACTGTGCATGCAAAGAAAAACACTATTCATAAAACACAGTTTGATATTACTAACAGATTTCTGTAAAGGCATGTAGTTTGTGTATCACCAGTTATAGCCAAGAAATGGGTACCATAAAATAAACCGTGATAGACACATATGTATACATTTGTATGTTTGTGTCATTAAGTAGTCTAACTTGTAAGTGCAGCAAGTACCTGTGGTTTGGTAATTTGACCATGAGAGTCAGAAGGCCAGATTCCTACACAGCAGGTACTGGTTCAAGTGCTTCTGTGATGACCATCCTGTGGTTTGCGTACTACTTCCTTCCACCTTCTGTTGTAGAACAGGAAAGGGAGAGTAAAGCAAATACGGTCTTAATTATTAATGTGCTTCCGTCTGCTTTAGATGACAAAAGGCGATACCACCAAAATATTCACTGTAAGACCCGGAGTGCTAAATGTGACTTCCAGTCAAGTTTTATCTCCATTTTGGAGGAGTTCAACCTTCTTTAGATTTTACTCATTTATGCAGGGAGAAGCAGAAATAGTGGTAGAAGTACTAGACAGTAAGATGCTGTCCTTAATCTGTTGGGAAGATCTCTATGGTATCTTTTCTTGTGACTTTGGTGAGCAATTGTTTAAAAAGTCCCTATTGCTCATACCTTTTCCATACATGTTTCCACAGGAGATAATTTTTTTTTTCACATAGAGCAACTTTTTCTCCTAACCCATCTTTGAGCTTGGAGTATGAGATGGCAGTTTGGAATTGATGTACACACACATATTCTCACAGAACATCTGTATAATTTACATTAATTTGTGAGCCATTTTGTGTGCGAAAATATGCATTATAATGAATTCCCTAACATAGAAACTGGCTTTTAATGAACATTAAAAATTATGTTATTTCTTAAATATGAAAGCAGAACATTCACTGGAAAACACATTGTAAATAATACACAAAATATCTGTATCTCTAGTATGGAGGCAGGAGGAGACTGAACAGATTAACAGAACTCTTACTGGAGCTGAAAGAAAGGCAGCACTTTGTGGACTTCTGGAACAAGAGGCACAGCTGATTGCTTCCATTGGGAGACACAAACTAAATGCAGATGAGGAAAATCGACAAAAGGTGATACTGCACTTTCTGAATAAGGTCAGTGATGTAATTTTAGGCTGAACATAAAGACTAACAAAGTACAGGAACAGAAAAGACATCTGCAAACTACCTGCCGAAAGTAACTTTTGTAGCTTTAACAGTTAATTATGTGAATGCTAATGTTATAAATATCCAAATTATCTAGTTTTTCACATCAGTACAATTCAGTAAATTTCTTTTTCCTAGCCAACAATTTTTTAGGTCTGTGACTGATTGAAGGACTAATAGTGCATCATTAAGACTGTAAACTATCAGTGCCTAAGGTAAATCTCAGGTGTGTATATATAACAAAAAATAGCACTGAGTGGATGAATTTTGTATTATGTACTATTCTGCATAAAGAACATGATTCATATGGCACTGTTTACAACATTAAAGGCTCTAATTCTAACTATTCAGAATGATCATCTTCCCTGTTGAGCACAGGCCTCTGGTCATCATATGCCTCTCCTTAAAGAAAGCATTTATTCTCTTTCCATGTGCAGGATAGAAAACCAGAACAACTTTGACTGAATCTTATACCATATTGAACTCAGTTATTAATTCACTAGTTTCAGTTTCATTAGAACTTTAACTTGAGATTTTATTCTTTCATAATCTTAGGGCTGAAATTTAACACAAATATTCTTCAGGCTTTCATCTATAAAACAAAGAAGAGCATTCATACATAAACATGATGTCTTTTTTAGGTAGACATCCTAGCAATCTATCCTCTCAAAAAAAAAAAGAAATAGTTTATTTCCTGGCTGTTTTCATGGTGTGTGACATAATTATGGAAAGAAATGCAGCAGCAGAAATAGGTTTTTTGCTTTTTTTTTTTTTTTTTTTTTAGTTTTGACAGCTTAGTGCTCAGAAGTAAAAATGGGAGTTTTATCAACAAAAACCCACCCTGTTTCTCATTCTTTTTTACTGATGTATGGGATCTGGACTGTAAAAAGTGATTTGATGAAAGTTCAAAACTGCAGAAAACTAAATATTTAGGAATCAAAAAGGAATATTTAGGATATCAAAATCTTGCAATAATTTCTATGCTAAATATTTGTTTCTGCTATTTACATTGTATTCTGTTATATTCTCAAAAAACCCAAATATATTTCTCTCTTAAAGGAGTTTCTACCTTTATTTTTCCTTTAAGGACTGCTTTCCAGTGTCCTGCCCTATATAGATTACTGCCAGTATATATTCTCACAAGTTCTTTTACATCTAGGAACCAGAAGCAAAATGTTCTTCAGTACCAGAATTCTTAGTGACAATCGATGTTTGGAGATCCAGGAGACACATGACAGACAAGAGATTTGTCTCTCTTTGCAAGTAGTGGACATATTTCTGAAGCACTTACTGCTAATTTACTTATATTTTAATTATTTTTTTTTCATTAAAGAGATTGGTTTCTTTTTAATTTGAAAATCTAGTGAGTTCTGAACTACTGCAACCTTTTTCTTTTCATGTTTTTTTCTTTTTTCATGTCAGCTATAGAGTTTTAAGTTCTAAACTGTTGACATTGCAGCCTAACTCAGAGGTAAAGAAAGTAATTCTTGCATTTCTTAAAAAATAAGTAAAAAGAATTTTTGAAATCTCAAAATTAAATGTATGGTTTGTTACGACTGTAGCAGTGCAATTTAAACACTTCAAACTGTAGTATAAATTCATTGTTGGAGTCCTCAGTTATAGATTATTCACTCATTTCTTGACCTTTGAGCTGATAATGTTAATCTGAACACTTGCCAGTTAAAGTTGAAGTAATACCTTTCACATCTGAAGACTGCAAGCATTTCACTTTGCTGTAATAGCCAATGTGATATGAAACTTGCTTCTCCATGGAAACCTTTGTTCCCTTCTTTGCTACTTTAAGCATGTACCTACTCATGCTTTTACAATGGTTGCTACTGGTTGTGTGTGCACTGCATTCTAGTTTGTTTTGTTTTGTTTTTTGCTGGGCTCGTTCTTCTTCAGCATTTGTACTTTGAAGAGGAAGTACTTGATTAAGCTTCTATATAGTAATTATATTTTCTTAAAAGAAACTTGTGTATTAATTTTTATAAAATTAATTTTTATAAAATTATTAACTGTCACTGAATTCATACCTTTCATGCTTTGTGCTGTTTCTGCACCCAACCTGTGGATATTTTTATTTTTTTATTTTTATGTATTACTTTTCTTACATTTTTCTGTGTCTCTGATGGTGTGTTTCTCTCCTTAGGTGCTTTTTCTTTTCTGCTTTCATGCATTGGCAGCAGAGTGCAGTTATAGCAATCTTGATCTCTCAAGTAGTCCAGATAACAGGATTATTGTAAATCCTGCAGCACTGCCAGCAGACTAAAAGGCAAGAAAAAGCTGGCAAAAAATATCGAAGTTTTAGTTTTCTCACATCAATCTTGAGCACATGAAAATATAGTCCTTAAATCAGAAAGCCTGTGATTCTTTCTGAAATACTGGTAATCTTCATATTAATGAGACATCTGTATTTTTATTTTTATTTTTTTAGTAAAAAGCTGCATTTTTTCCAAGTTATTTTATATAATACCCAGTTATGATGAGGTAGTAAGAAAAACTACAGAAGTTACAGATACTGTGTCTTAGAATAACTTAGAGGTTATCATGATGTAGTTAGTCTGTGTTAAGGATCATTTGCAGAGTGGAATGCTAGGACTGTTAGCTCATACATGGGTTGTTGCAGGAGAACCAAGTTTTAATAACCATTTCCTAGGGGAAACTCTGCCCATTGACTCTCCCTAGCATAAGCAAATGACCTTCCTGTCATGTAATAAGTGATTTCATTGAAGAGGATCAAATCTAAGTACTGAATTAACTATTCTGAAGGAAAAGGTGATTTTTACCAGTCTACCATATGAAGGAGTTACTGCATGATACAGCTTGTAAGTGTTGGTGGTTTGGGGTTTTTTGTTTCCTTGGTTTGTTTTCAATTTTTTTTTTTAGAATTCCTAGTACTGTATGAAGATAGTGAAACAGTCATGAAGTTACAGTAGAATGCTCCCTTTTTGCTGACAGAGAAGAAATCGCCTCTTTCTAGTTTTGCAGAAGGTCAAAAATGTCAGTTATTCAGTGTTAAATTCTTTTTTTTGTTGTTCCCCCAATTATCTTCCTTTTGCTTTCCTAACTTTATAATTTTTTTATTTAAAAGTTAGGGAAGCTCTATTTTGATTGCGTTGGTGACTAAACATGTCTGTTCTACCTAATATTCTTAGCATTTTAATGACTTATCACCATAGCAAGCATGTGTATTTGGTCAAAATAATGATTATGTCAATACTGGGATCATCTCCAGAAAACTATTAGTCATGTGAATACTGCAAGAAGTGTTGCTGTAGTTAACTCACAGTGAGACTGCAAAGTGAAGTTCCCAAGTTTTTGTGAGCAGTCAAGTTCCAAATAAAGTGAAAGAGAATAATTAATACACAGAATGAGGTTCCAAAGAGCTGTCCCAATTAAGGAAATGGAGTGGAGTTAGGTTGTGATGGGGAGAGGGTTTTGAATACTTGTCTTTCTATTGGATTTAGATACCTCCCTCCCTGTGTAACAGTGTGGTTTGCAGCCAAATCCAGTCTTCTTGAAAGGGGTGAATAGTTGAACTTTTCAAACTGACTGGGGCAGCTGACACTGTGTAACTTTTCATTGTCTATAGAAGTTAAAGAAACAATTGAAGTGGGTATGTGGTTAAGTTAGCAAACAAGAAGCTCAATGAAGTATCTGATAAGCTGTAACTCCTTCTTTGCCTTAGTCAGATTTAGCAAAGTCTTTTTTAATATATAATATCTGTCTGTATAGCTAGAATAAACAGAACAGTTCCCTGGAGATATTTTGTACTGCAGTAACTCTAAGGCCTTAAATTTGCAAGCTTTACACAACAGTCCCATTGATTTTTGCTGATAGTTTAGAGGGATTTATGAAGGCAAGATGAAATGCAGAGCAAATGTATTCTAATACTACTGTCAGTAAATTTGCTTTAAAGAAGTAAAGCATATCCCTGTAGGAGAATCTTATTTACTTTTAATATACAATAACTCCAAATTTTCAGGACCTGCAACTTTAAACAAAGCGTGCAACTGAATACTTGGTCTAGGGGAAAAGATACTTAAATATCGACAGTAGAATTAGACTTTTGTATTAGTCAAGAATTAATGTTAAGTCCCTATTTGTTCTGGTGAAACTTGATGTAAAGTAATGCACTGGTTCAGCTGGTGATCAGATTATAATAGCTCAGAGTTATACAAATTGTTTCTGAAGTGTGCGCAACCTAAGAGATGGAAAGCGTATGATGGAAAAATCACTGAAATGGATACACAGTACACACTCCGTGCCAGAGAACTATTGGAAACCTACTGCAGCATTAGCATGAGTGACATCCCACAAGACGAGAGAATAGATGTGCTGCTAACAGTCAAACGTACAGTGAAGGTATGTCTTATTTTTCTATTTGTGTTTATCTTGAAGCTGTACTTCACAAAGATACAATCAATTGTGTTGACAGATGAGCAGTGTCGCTTCTGCCAGACAGGGGCCAGGATGATCAGCTGGCAGCATGAGAAAGCCTAGTGTACCACTTGGCATGAAAGTAATTTACATTCCAGATATACCTTAAACTCATACGTCATTTTGCGATGTGCACATTTTTCTTAAAGTTGTGTTAGAATTTTAACCCCATGGTTTTAGACTTTTTGTATCTTGGTACATAATAGAGCGTTAGGGCAAAGTTTAGCTTAATATTTATAACAACTTGAGGAAAACCATGTCAGAGTTGTAAGTGGCTAGTAGTATTTTTTCAAGGTTCTTTGAAATGTCTGTTTAGAACCTCATCTTTCTGTTTGTTTGCTCATAAAACTGAACAGCAAATAGTTTTGTTTAGTTTTGTTTTTTTCCTTTATCCTTTATTCTCTGCCCCCATTGCTGCTGCCAGTGTTCCCAGTGAATTAGAACCTGGTTGTGTTTCTTTTAATCTTTCATATTTGCTTTATATATTTATTCATGTACAAAAAAAATATGAGGAGTTTCAAACTCTTTTCAGGATACTTGTTGACTTGTTGACATCAAGCTGGAAGAGAATGCTGCTTCCTGGTCTTCTTAAAACATACACTGTTTGCTTTGGTAGTACCAGAATTTGATCTAAAGCCCATATAGCATTGGGAGCACTGCTGGTTTATGAACTCCTGACCATGTTAATACAAGTCAATATTGATGATGTGGGTTTTTTTAAACCATCTACTGTGTATATACACTGTACCTCCTCTCCTATCACATATTGAAAGGAAGCTCTTTTGGGAGATACTTCTTGAGTTTATGAAGTCTGAAAATTTTGCATGTGTTGTGTGCCACTGCTTAGCATTTTTTAATGCCTCCAAGTTTACAGTTCCTTACAGCTTTGACATATACACAGGCCATCTTAAAGCAGAATCTGTAAGCATTTTCAGTTTTGTAGTTCTCTACATTAGTTTTCTTTGAGGTTGTTTTCCTAAGACTTGTTCTGTGAGCATGTTCTTATGTGAACATGGAGAGAGGTATGAATGATCATTGGCATAGAATCCATAGTTTGCTTTCATATCTGTATTAGAATTATTTCGTTTGTTTGTTTGTTTCCTTATTGTTGTGGAGTTTGTTTTCCTTCTTCTTTGTGATTTTTTTTTTTTCCCCCAGGAACACAAATGTAAATTAACACAGGAGATCATTGAATTAATTGACAGGGAAATTGATCTTATGTCAAGAGATGTGAAAGAATGCAACTTGGAAGGACTAAGGAAAAGAATTTGTACATTATTTCTTCGGTTTATTAAAATGCCAAAGTTTAACCCTGAAGTTGCTAGGATACTTAAGGTATTATTCCTATTTTGCAATCTGATGTGATGGCCATCGAACTAAGAATGGTGGAGAAGGGGAATGGAAAGCTTTTTTATTTTACATTTTGCCATAGAATTGCTAGAGGAGTTCTTCAAGAAGTAAAATGTAGCAAGTACACAGGCTTCACATACATAAATAAGCTTATATAGTCATACAGGAAGCAAGAGACATAGATATGGGTGTAAAAACCTGACAGGTGGTTGGTAGCACTGAGAGAGACCAGGAACTCTATGAAATAAAGATTCTGAGAATTATAAATGGTAGATCTTATGGGATGGTAACAGTAAAATGTAATAGCAAATAGGGAACAAATAGAGAGAGCAATTATCTTTTTTCCACTGGACAAGGGCCAGCATACCTTCCAGAAAGGAAGAATGTTGCCATTGTCAAAGTGATGTCTAATGAGCTTGCACCTAAGCAAGAGCTCTTATGAGCTTCTGTTGTACAACCAGTTGCTACTTCATGATAAGAAGATATCTAGGTAGCGGAGAAAGTGGTAGACACCTCTCAAATGGTGTGGTGGTTTTTCTTTCTGATGACAGATTACAGTTAAAAATATGATTCACTACCATCGGTTGCTGCTTTAGGCAGCAAGATGTATTTGGCATCTGTTAGAATTCCTCTTACAGTGGTTGATGGTATCTCAGGGGTAAACAATCTGTCAGTAAATGTAAATCAAATTTAGAACCAACTAACAGTTATTTTACACTAGGTTTATGTACAGACGTACCTAAATATGTCATAGAAGAGACTGGATATGGGTTATCTTTGTCTTCTGTAGCTCTTGGTTAGCTGTACATTGAGTTGAAGTCTGAATTGCATCTTTTTTGTATTTGAATTTTGTGACTTAGTGTGGACCATAAAAAGATGGGAGTTTATCAATAGACAGTCAAAATAACCAAATCCTCAGGTTATTTTCAAAAAACAGCAGATGACCTTAATAGGTAGCTGGATAATAAGGCTGCTCGAACTATCCAATTACAGACTTGGGCCCTCTGCACAGATTAAATTATATTCTTTCCAGAACCCATGAAGCAATATGAGATGAGGAGGTCATTAGCAAGTTTAGTTTATTATTTTCCCCTATATTGTTTTTGGCTCTGATGACTTTATATTCTTATGCCAAAATATTAATATGCCCATAATCTCAGGGATTTATCTTTGACATAATGGGCGGATTCTATATGAAAAATTAAATGCAGAAGATTTAGTTTCTGTATTCTCTGTGTTGTTATCTTTCCAGAACGGCTGACAATCAGCATACACAAAAGCCAGGAAGAGCACTGGAGCGTAATGTCATATAGCTTAAAAATGAATTGGCTGATTTATATAACTGATTCTAACAAGTATAATAAGAAAATACAGTGGCTTTCGGTCTTTATTAAAAACAAACAAACCTATTGCGTATTTTAAAATACATACTGCTAGCTTTCACATATTCAAATACTTGCATGAATATATGTGAAATGTATTCTGACAGAGTTAGGGTAACACAAAAGTAATAAAAAGATGCTTTGTGGTAAATTAACTGTTTTAAAATTTTTTTTAGGTTCCACCAGATCCCTTAATGCTTTATAAAAATGTGAACTGCTGTCAGAGTTGCAAAAATTACTTATCGTCTACTGCGTTTCCTATTCCTGCTAATTCCCGCACCACTGGCAGATGTCACTTGTGTTGCAAGCTTGATAATGAGGCTCGGCACCGAGAAACATTTTTGAAGTGTAAACTTATACTAGAAAACCTCAGGAAGTCTGAAGCTGATTATCAGGATGATGCTAAAATTGTTTTCTTACTTCAGGTACTGTCTGGAAGAGCATTGCTAATAAAACCAATGGCTCTGACTGTAATTTTTCCTTTATTTTGTGTATGTTGTTGACAGGTTGAGAAATAGATTAAGAGCTACAAAAACTTCTTCCTGTGACAGGGAATGTTACATACCATAAAGAAGCAGCACTTAAGCTTTTGAAGTGTAGCTGTAATTTCAAAAGTGGTTACAAGCTGTACATCACAAGAAGGTAGAAGTCTTAGCTGACAAGGTCAAAGAATCAGATGATCCAAATTCTTATTCTGGTTCTGCTATGGCCATCCTGTTGCTTAAAGATACTACCATAATATGTAAAGCAATAATAATGTTTTTCGTGATTATGTCTCTCAAGACATAATGCTAGTAAAACATTTTGAGCCCCATTATTTAGACTGTTTTAGTAATACAAATAAATTGTTGTGTATTCTCAGAAGGAAAAGATAAGGGAGCTGATGTTTTGATATTTCTGTTCTATGTCAGTAAAATATCTGTATAGTTGGAAGTCTTACTCTTTTGCATTTATTGGGAGAGGGTTTAGCACTTTGCCAATGGCAGTTGCCAAGGGAAGATTGGGATTCTTTAATTATCATGCCTGTGTTAAGAAATTTTATGAAAGAACCTGGATTTTGTAGATGTTTTTTGTTGTTGTTGTTTTCACTTAAGATGGAAAGTTTTTTGTCTGTGTCTCACTTAGTTTATTTAATATGTAAACATTCTCCAAATCACTTGTGATGGCTGGTGGCCATTGGTACACTGAAATATGACTGCTTCTTAACTGCTGACACTGAAAGCCCTCACATGCAGTTCCATTAGTGGTTGTACCACTGCATCATCTCCAGATACTGTGTCATTTTCATCCAAATTAACTTATTTTTTTTAGAGTTGTAAATATCTAAACAGGTGTTTGTATCTTAAATCACTAATTTCCTTGGGTTTTTTCCTAACATTTCCTTAATTTTATTTATTTATTTATTTTTTAAATGAGCTACTTGCTTTTATTCTTCCTTCCCCTCCCACAACCATCTGTCCCCTTCTGCACTTATATCCAGAAAACAGCTCTGGAGCATCTAGAAATGACTTGGGCACAACTAAAAGTCTTTTGCATGAGCTATGACAGCTTCATTCATTGTCCAGTGCAGTACCATTGCTGGCTGTGATGGTATTGTGGATAGATGCAAGACTTTTCTGGTAAGATAAAAGATTTTTCTTCAGATCTCTTGCATACTGATTCTAACTGTGTTTTGGATTGACCACCTAAGTGAGTGCTGCCAAGGTTTAAAAGGCTGAAAACAGTTAGTTAGAGTTACGGTAGCTCCAGTAAGTTCTGCTTACTGCAGCTAAAGACCTTTTTTGTAACAAAATGAACTAGTTCAGCAAATATGTCAAGTCCTGAGGCTCTCTTTTATTTTTTCAGAGGATTTAACTATGTCATGATCCTTAGAATTAGAATCATAGAATCATAGAATAGTT